TTTTTTTTTTTTTTTACTGTAATTCATACCTTACGTTTCCATAATTTTGATAACATTCCTATCTAGCCACCATACAGTATAATACACGCGTGTGATAATATTTACAGTGTTTTTTTTGATCAATTAATTTGTATGGCACCTATAGTTTATGGACGTGAATAATAATATCATATTGCAGTTTGTTAGACAGAATTATTTTCGAGCAATATTCGTTAGTCTTTCTTATGTTTACAACAAGAATTATAGTGTCTGACATGTGTTGTCCATTGTTTCAGAGTTTGAGTTCCAGCTCCAGGTCGAGAAGCGCCACACCGGATTCGGATTCAAATAGCCCACCTATGTCATGGTCTCAAACGGAAATAGCAGTACCTACACCATTACCCAAGTGAGTAGAGAAATTTTCGTTTTTGGGTTACCGACCTCGTACGGGAATCGCAAAAAATTGCATAACGCTTTACGAACATAAAAACGTGTCTAAAACAAATAGGTAGTATATATAGTAATAGTGTAATAGATTGTTAAAATGCAATAAAAAAAAAAATTTACGCATAGGTACGTAAAATAACTTTACAGCGGAATTAATTACTCATTGTTGGAAAACAATATCGGTAGAAATATGTGAAACAAGTGATATCTAATGAAAACAGAAATCATTAGCACAACATTAATTACACCCATTTATATTATCTTTGAGCGCACATAGTTTCATTAATCGATTGTAATAATATGTCCATTATATAATATTATGCTAATATGGTTTCAAAATGATTTGTAATCGTTTTTCTTTGTGTTCGCGAGTCATTATAATCACACACACAATAAAACAAAATAGATTAATACGCTTAAATTAATTAATTTAATCGATTGTTGACAAGCATGCCTTTAGCCCCATTTATAGCAATAAGCTATGGATGAAAATATAATAATTCATATTTATTTATTTACTTATTTACATTGTTCCCGCTTAGCACAATTATTATTTAGCAATATCGAATGAGTTTAGGTTTTAAATATACTCATACAATCACTCAAATTCTATAGGTGATCGGTCCGTGTTTCGAGTGYACAATTGCGTATAGGTATAACTACTACACACTACAACAGTACTTTAAATTCAGTCGTTACATTTTATTAACTCAAGTTAGTTTTTGCATTTCGCGTAGGAAAACGTGTCCGAACGATCTTCTTAATTCGTATCGGATCCGCTGGATTACGATTAAAAGATTTTACGACCACCTATGGCTATATAATRTAATATCATAATATAGGTAGGTACCTGCATTAGATACAACAACCTATATGGATATCAAAATAACTCCCACCACGAAACGGTTAATTTTCAACGGATTTGTTATACATATACAATATAATATATCGATGGCTCGCATAATTCTACCGAATGCATTAAATATTAGATTTCATTTTGGCTTAAATATTTAATTACCAATTTGTACTGTACGGTACATTTAATAATTTATTACGTACGAGTTAATTATTATATTTATATATTTAGCCTGAGGTTGGGTTCGGAGTATATTATGCACTAAAATATTCGTTGCATATAAAGAATATGCGTGCAGTCAAAATAGTAATTATAGCGCATAATATGTGGTTGGTTGACCGTAAAACGTTTTAGACAAAAATTAATATTCATAAATCATAATACATATGCCTAATCTGGGTCCGACATGAGTATTTAAAAAAAACTAAATTTCGAGCCTCGCAGATGGAAATACTTGAATTAACTACAAACAGCGTATAGTTTGAAAATAGAGATCTGTTTTTTCACTATATATAACTCACTCAAATACTTAATATTTAATAGCTTTAAAAATTGTGTAATACAATTTCGATTGTTTTAGTAAATTGTAATTTCATCTTAGATGTTGAATGAAGCGAAACTATATAGTACTTATTTTGCAATTATTGTCTCTTTCTAAAAAAAAAAAAATGTAAACAGGCCAATAAAAATAGTAGATTCTCAATGAAATTTTTACAATGTACCTATGCAGCAATACCTACTTTATAATAGTATACAATGTCAAATTGCTACATTGAAAAATATCCTAAGTATAGCTTGAATCAAATTCAAAACATAATTGTATATGTGTGTGGTTCCTACAAATACATTTGATAACAATAATAGTAAATTGATAAT